CGCGACGTTTCAATATTATACTGGGTAATTTACAGTTTCGTCATCTAAATATTTTGCTATTGGCCGTACGATTTGTTTCGTCGGGTTCGACTCCCCAGCCCCAAATTGGTTATTATGTGTATGAGCGCATGCGCAGGAAACTGATAAAAAGAAAATAAGTAATTGCAGGCAAATATATTACCGAACGTGCTTCCATTCTGTTGATTTTAATTATGTGATAATTAATTAATAAAATGAAACCTTATTCATATTATATAAATGATCTTCCTCCCTTTCTACCTATCTATCTATTTATCTATCTATTTTTATCTCTCCTATTTCCACTTCTATCCCTTTAATTTTCAATATTTATCTGTGTAGTCATATAGAAAATACTTATAACATTAAAAAGAATAATGTATATAGTTATATTTTATACTACGTAAGGAATAGTATATTATAGTTTACATATAATGACTGTATACGAATATATCTCTTATATTAATTTTTAAATCCAAATAATATATACATAAAGAATTATAAGTTCGAGAAGTTATTAGTTGAATATCAAATATACTTTTATTTATTATTTTGATTGACATTTGTGAAATAACCATGTATATGGCGTTAATATATTGATAGACGTTTTCCATTATTTTAATAAAAATATATATTCACAATTTAGAAACTTGTTTTAGAAGACATTACTCCTTACATAATTGCAATTTCTTGAATAATTAATATGAAATAGTAAATTTTGTTCAATATAAAGTAAATAAGTTTTAAAACAGTACATATTAAAAAAAAAGTATCAACGTTAAATTTATGAAGGATTATTATATGGAAGTAGTTTACAGTACGACGAAACAAATTGTAAGTACTTTTATTATTTAAACAAATTCGCTAAATCGCGTTCATAACCCAATTACTATTTTAATAAAGGATTCATCTCTAACGGTTCAAAATAAAACTCTACAAGTTTTTATTACATCCCTACGATAGAGTAAAACGATCAAATCGAATCAATACGGAAGCTCTATACAAATTTCATCAATTATTTTATCATCTAAAAATATGTATATATGTTTGATCATACTCTTGAAGTCATTTTTTATTTGAGTTATCAATAACAATACGATATACATTAAATGTAATTTTATTATCAACTTTATATTGAGTAATTTTATAGGTAGTGAAAAAACTTAAATTTGTATGCTTAAAATATTTTACGTACGTTATTCATTACAATATTAGATAAATACATTGTAATGAAAAAATACAATGTCAGCTTGGCAAAAATATAATTTTTACCAATTAATAACGAATACCAAATATAATCATGTAGATAATATTCAATAAAAGGAAATAAACACTACTAGGTGACATATAATGCAAACATATGTTTACTAATATTAAGAAAAAAATATTAATATAGCTTTCCTATATTCTGTAAAATAGGCGGTTTTTACCTTTTCAAAATTTTATTAATGGACTTTTATGTTATTTGTATATCTATTGAAAATTTTTTAATGATTGAATATTGAATTAGAAATTAAATATAATAAATACGAAAACTACAAATAAATATACTTTTAAATTATAATATTAAATCAGAATTGCAAAATATAAGGTAATCAACCTAGTGTATTGTCAAGAAAAAATAAATTTTTAAAAATCCAATATGGTTTTGTAGTTATACATACATAAATAGATGCGTTATTTTTTAATTAAAAGAGTTACTAAAGTATGTATATGTATAAAATTACAAATTAAGGTAAAATTTATATTGTTAATTCAATTTATTTATGTATTAAAATCTATATATTTTTATCTATTAATCAAAATAGAAAAAGAGTATTGAAGTAATTATGGCAAAAATATTTATGAAGGGTTATAATATATAAAAATAAACTTTTTAATTTTAATTTGATCAAATCTTGAATACATGAATAATTCTAAGAATGAAGAATTATGACTAGTTATTTATGCAATGATATTTAAATATGCTTAATGATGGAAGTAAATTCAATGTACTTTTATAGTTTCCATCGAATGAGCAAATGTGAATGATTAGATGCAAGCGATTATTAACTAATGATAATAATTTATTAAAAACTGAAGAACTATTAAAAAAATTTTCATTTAGATTCAAAGCTCTAATAGACATATTTAATATTGTAATTATAAACATTGTTAAATTGAACTCGATGAAACTCTTTTTAAGTAAATTTAAATGAAATCAATTTATTAATGTACGTTAAATTGAATTTCTTAAAGGACAAGTACAGTAGATTTGTAATTGCATAAGTTTTTTTTATTATAAAAATAACATTACAAACAAAAAGTACGTACCAACTATAAAATATATGTATGTAAAGATGCTAACAAATATAAAAGATTTTTTTTAATCTTAGGTCAATATGAGGGTTGTTATGTATTAATAAAATTATAAAATAATATCCATTCTTCATAGTATTAAATAAATGTTTAAGTCTAGAAATTTTGATTAATGTTTTCACTATTGATGTATTTTTCATTAAGCAAATATTTCGAATAAAAAACTCCAGCTACTTCTCTATAAAACACTTTTCTTTCTATTAATTTGAAAATTCAGTTAAATGTAACATTGCATAAAAAAAAACTTGTTTACAAATAAAATACGAATTGAGAATAAATCAAATAAGTATTTAGTTTAATGAAATTAATCTAAGGTTACTTATAAAGTATTGTACGATCCTTTGAATATTCTTATCTTGTTTCCAAGTGTTTTCGCCGGTACGCATTTCCAGACGGATATCATGTTAGTTATTAATCTATTAGGATACGAGTTATGCCATAAAGTCAACATGAATTATCTCCTTAGCAAACACAACATGACTCTGTATAAGAAGTGTCGTTATTCGAAAGCTTCGACTGCATTGTAATGCTTTGTCTATTCGATCATGAATAGTAGTATACAAGGGTTATAGTTTTGAATATTTTATCGAATTATATTCTATTATTGATGAAGCCATTTTACTGATAAGGATGTTTGTAAATTCTCAAAAATGGTTGCCTTGTATTATTGAAAGTTAACAAAGTATTATTATTATTTTTAATAATTGTAATCAATTTCTTTACGACACTTTAAATTAAGTTTTTTTAAACAGATGCACTTTGTAAGGGGATAAAAAAATCAAATGATATGTAAAATTTCTGGTATTGATCTGAGTTTCTTGTATTTAATCCGAGTTTTCATCAAAATCAAACATCCTTTCATGAAGTCTTCATTTTTCTTATTGTTTTAATTTTTAATTTAATTTTTTTAATTTACTTCATTATATTTTAATAACAGAGCATCCGGTATTTCAATTGAATTCATGTAAAATAACGACGAAAATCAAAATCAAATAAATGAAGACACCAGAGTGCAGTTTCATTATGCATAAATGAAGTCTTTTATGTACCAATAAAATCTTAGATATTTGTTGAAATAGAAATATTTATGTGAATATCAGAATATACGAAGAAATAATAAATTCGTTGACTTATTTATTAAGGTAAGCAATATGAATTTATCTATGTATATGAATATTCTATATTCCTGTGAATATGAAGAATTATTAAATTGAGTTTTTTCGTCCTATTTATAAATTTATAGCATAGAATAATGCAATGAGGTCTGAATAATTTTATACAAATTAGTACACGTATGAATTTTTATTAGAATTTTATCGAAAAATGACTGATACTATTATCTGGGAAAACAGCCTTTTACACTCCCCCAGCATAATTTATATCATTTCATTAAAATACATTTTGAAATATTTTAATTTATCGTTTGGTAATATTAAGTAACAAAAGATGTGATTTTAATTTAATTATATCGTGTATTATATTTTACAATTAAATTAATTGTACATTTATGATTTGTCCGCAATAAAGAATATTGTGATAAAATTCATTACGTCTCCATGTTCACAAATATAAAGTATTATATATGTTAAAAAATTTAATAACGTATTTGCATAATTTGCAATAATGAAGTGGTACATTGCCTGTGATATAATGCTCTATGAAGACATGTTTAATATTTTTTATTTACAACATGGCAAATTTATGCTTGCTGGTAGTGTTTGGAAATTTTATTCATAGCAACTCATTTCAATTCAATGACTATTAAAATGAACATAAATACAATACAGGAAACATGACGTTTCTTGATATTTTATATCTTCCAGTTTGCAAGATAAGAATTCGAATTTTACGCAAGATCAAGTTGGTACCGGATCGGCACAAATTAACTGAGCATAGAAATGCGTAAACATATGCTCGTCTGAACGTGCAAGTATTATTGATAATTTAGCGTATACCTGTATGTACATAATCGTGGGTAAACATGAATTTGCGTTGTAACTTGATTAAAAAGTTAAATATCCAAAGTGTAATAGCAACGTAATATTAAATTTAACAACATGTGATGTAAATACGCCAATTAAGTAATCAACATTAACTCAATATGAATCATCGCCTCCATTGTAGCTCTGCCTATTTTTTGCATTTTAAAATATAATATTATTGCAACTTTAAATCGCTAAACGAATATCTTTAGTTAAGAGTAAGTGCTTGACTAGCAGTGTCACACCTAGTCATTAATTATCATGAAAATTTCAGTTCTATACCATTGTCGCGAACCCTTGGGACCGTTCCCAAATTAGAATTTTTAATGGTCTTCGAAATTCCGCGATTGTCTAAGACTTATCTTTTTTCTGTAATTTTGTTAATATTATATATATAATATTACACGAAAATCTATCTTCTTTATAAAATATATTATTATAACAGCGTTTTATGAAGTATGTCTTTAATTTCAAAATTTAACACAACTAACATCTGAAAATATTAATTACATATCCTCAAATATAAAATCCAACATATTTTAATGGAAATCAAATAGCAAATAATTCTCTTATAATGATATTATATACATAATGAAAATATAGTAATAAAAGGTATAAAGGTGAATATATAGCATTACTTACACTGATTCCCTTCTTGAGCTCCAAAAGCCACAAGCATCTTCGCTAAGGATCGGTTATTACTTAATACTGCCACGTCTAATAATGAAAGACCGTCACTATTTACGCTGAAATTAAATAAAATTTTTTTATAAATTTTCTCTGTGGTGGTATTAACTTTTGTTTTAATTTCAGTTTAAATCAATAAATCCTTCGATTGATTTCTCAGTCTAAAAAGATTTGATATCTTTAATTGAGAAATATATAAAATGAGTAGTGGTTTCTATATACTTATCATTTTTTCGATTTTTCAAACTCCAGAAGAAAGTTTTCAGTTTTAAAAGAATACAAAACTCGCGTCTTGTTATTCTTGCTATAGCATGAATATATTTTTGAAAAATAAATTATACAAATTGTATTAGAATCTTTTCTGTAATCTATCCAATGATATTCGTTTGCAATTAAGTAAATAAATAATTGTTTTACTAATATATATATTTTCAATATATAAAAATTAAGAATTTATTTTATAATCTCAATATTAAATTTAATCGTCATTTTCTACTTTAAGAAAGTAATATTTGATAGATAACTATTTTAACCGTAGGGAATTAAAAAATTAAAAATAAATTGAAAAGCATATAACTTGCACAATGCTTTTGGAATACTAATTTAAATATTCTCAATATTTAAAATTTTATATACCAAGATTTAAAAATGTTAATAATAATATCATTATATAATGATAAAATGAATGTATTAAAATATGTTTTAAGTAGATTTTGAATTAAGAAAAGAAAAATAAATAAATTTCTTTAAAATTATATTTATAATAATGTTAAAGTAATATTAATGTATTATATTAAATATCTATATATTAAAAATATTGGATCACACTCCTAGCTTTACTGTTTTATATATTTACATTTATATACACACAGGAATTTTTACTGGACCCTCTTATTCATAGTAACCGTAGGAAATTTTTAGACATGGTGTTTTATACATAAAAAGTAAATATTAATTATTTTCAAAAAAGATATATTTCTAAATTTAATTGAAATTCGGTTTTATTAAAAAAAAAGATATGTCGTTTATGCAAATATTAATAATTTTATAATAATTAATATTAATGTTATATTTATATCAAAAATAAAATAGTATTATATCCTTTTCAAAAATATAGCAATCTATAAAATTGAAATAATCACTTTATTCAATTTGTTAATATTTTATAAATACAACGATTATAAATAATAATCGAAGTTTATAAAAGGAAATATTTTTTCATCCGAATACGCATGTAAATATTTTAATCAGTATAGTGTAAACTAAAAGTAATTACTGTAGCTTTATTATGTTGTAATAATTTCGTTTTATTTTGTCGTTATATTTGAAACAGATATATTTTACGACATTGAAGTTATATGAACTTTGAAACTGAATTAATATTGTACAGTGAATACTAAATAATATATCGTTCATATTGAATATAAGTTATCGAATATAAATTTTAATGTTCTACTTTGATGTTCGAAAATGATTAATATTAAATAAAAATATTTTCTGTGTCATTAGTGTTTAATATATAAAGAATCGCATTTTTATGACTGATCTATTAATTAATTAGTAAAGCATTATAAAATTTCAATTTTAATAAATGAATAAATTATTTGATAAATTAAAAAAAATTTATAAATATATTATTGAATAACTTTTTACATTGTATGCATGTAAATCATTTAAGACAATAATGAATTATATTCTAACTTAAAAATTTTTTTAATATTATGATCAATTAAATATTTATTATTTATGAGTTTTTAATACTAATCATTTTCGCAACACAATTGCACTTCCATTGGTTTTCTTAGATTATTTATCATCTTCTCTTTTGCAACTATTCTTGATAGTTTTCATTTTCTTTGCTATTTTAAACAGATGGAAGCAGCGGTTCATAAAATACACCATGAGCTTACCCACCCGCTCCTTTTCTTTTTTAAGTTCCACTTATCTGTCTTGCGTTTCGTTCTAACTTTTCTTGCTCTCGAGAGTTTTCGTATCGCTTGGGAAAAAAGAATCGTCAGATTCGATTATATCTACGTGTCCTATCAGGACTTTAATCAATCTCTGTATGAACTTGTTAAGCAACGAGTTCTTAATCCCTAGTCGAGGTAGAGAAATACTAAAGTAGGAAAGGGAGGAGACGGATATCAGAGAAGGGAGAGAAGATACAATTAAATGGGCGTTGAAGAGCTATTGAGATGTCTGTAAGGGAATACTTACTATATATTTATAATAGTTCTTCTACTACAAATGTCGGATCTTTGCTATGACATAATACATACATATATATATATATATATATATATATATATACATATATAGAAGATCAAGTCATTTAACTTTTTATATTTAAAATTTGAAGATATGCTGCGCACTTTGTTAAGGAATTAAAAGCCAATGTTAGAATTACACTCGTCAAGACAAAAGAACATTTATTACTCGTAATATTTTATCTTTAGAAAATAGTTGGTAGCGTACCATTATTATAAAGGAATGGAAAATTTTACTACTTACATAGTAGTTGTTATTTTTTTATAAGATACTTCGTACCGTATTTTTTTTTATACAAAATAATTTCAAACATAAGAATTCTGTGTTACAAGCTTACGAAGCAGTAAGCTGATATTCATTGGTACAACTAATACATAGTACAATTTTATTCCGCTGCCCTACAGTACCAAAATACGCCGTGCATAATTGAAAGACAAAACGAAATCAGTGGTAGAAATAACAAGATTACTTAATAAATTGAATGCCGACCGGAAGTGGAATTAACGGCATTATGTAAATCAAATCGTGCTCACCTGTTAACGTCAACATCCGTTGATTCGAGGATGGCTCTCGCTTTGTCAAGGTGACCGTGCTCAACAGCTGCAAAAAGTGCTGCCAGAGAGAACAGAGAGAAATCGTCGATTAGTAAATATAAATTTACATGCCGTGAAGCATAGCGCATTTGAGCGATGGTGCGAGCATTGCCTCGAGTAAAAATAATAAAAAAAAAGGAGAAAACAAAGGAGAGATTAAATGCATGCATGCGCACTTCGGTAAGTTCATTAGATAAACTAACGGCATAATTTGCATTCGATCCCCAGGGTTAAGCCTTGAATTGGAACAAAATGGTCGTCTGCGGAGCGCTTGAAACTTTCCAATTAGCACGATCGAGTTCGTTTAATGTGATTTCCGAGCCCGCGGGACGTCCAGCTGTAGAGAAATCAGCGAAGTTGCTTTTATTTCTTAATTGAGCGCCACTCGTACGAGAATATAATTAGCTTTAATACTCGCTGAGGCTGATAATATTGCCGGTATATAAATAGTGGAGTCGAGGTTTTGAAAGTTCGTCTATGCTTATATCAATTTGTTAATCAACATCAAATTATCGACAGTTGTCTAATTCCATTTATAACTGAATCTTCTTAAATATATTTATTTGTCCAAAATTTTTGTGCCTAGAATTTTCATATCAAATAACAAAAATCGACCATTCTTATAAACTAATTAGCTATGGTAATGCCGTAAATAGTTTCACTTGACGGTCAGTATCCGATTTAAGATACTGAGTAATTGTTTAATAAAAAAAAATTACCCGAAAGATATTCACTAATTCAATTTTTAGTCACAAATTAGGTGTAAAAGCATAGAATAAGAAATGTTTTTAGAATAGATAGCCCACACCCGACTACAAAATAAGCTTTAATAGTTTAAAAAGATACTTAATTGCATTCTTTATGGAGGAGAAAATTTTCATCGGTAAATATCTTTTAAAACAGGTGACTTTACATTAGCCGAGAAATGGTAATAGTAAGAAGAGATTGAAATGTAGAGTCAGAGGAAGCACCGATCTCTGAAAATGTATATGGCATAATGCAAAACAGTCAAGGTACCATGCAAATGTATGTTGAGGGAGGGTTGTGCCGTGAGAGGGTTGATGTGTATCGATGACAAGTTGGTGAGTTGATACTGATGATTTCTTTGTTGTTGCTGGTGCTGCAGCTGATGTTTCTTTTTGCCGAAGCCCTCCAGGAACTCCATCCCTTGTAGCGAGTGTAGCTCTGCGCGAATAAGAGCAACGAAATAAAAAAACTATCAAATCGAATGAATGGCATACATGCTGGGATACGTAAAAATAAAAAAACATATATTGTGTATATTGTCGAATGATAAAACTTCGACTGGGAAGGAAGAAATTTAGGGATAATATTATGGGAAGGGCAAAACGGAAAAATAACTATAATTTCAAACACGACTAGCTATTGTCATTGATTTGCTGAAAGATAAATGCTAAGATTGCTGAGTAAAAGTTAGCGCTACTTTATCAGATTCAAACTTTGTGGATAATTTTATTTGTCTTGAAATACAGCAATAGTATACATTGCTTTTTGCGTTCATGTTTGTCGCCCATTGACACTTGCATTAAAAATTCCTCGTGCAATTACTGTAAAACAAAAGCAACCAAGAGAAAATAGGAAAGTAATTAAATTTACAGTTAAGTTTACTATATTGCGATCTTAATTAATTGTTCGCATTGAGAAAGACAAAGAATACTAATTAAAAATATCGGCAACGCCGATAAACGTCAAACTTAGTTCAAACAATCTATCACTCCCTCCTTATCACTCTTTTTCTTATTGTTTTTCAATTTGTTTGTTATTCAAGAAGAAACGTACTTGTAACCGAAATATTCGTTACTGGGGCTGCAAATTGTAATTCCTCTGTCTCTACATTTAATGCCAAATCCTTTGAACTTTTCGGCATACTCTGTTTCTAGAGTGATAAATTCAAATATCTTTAATCAGAAATGTGTTTCAAATATTCTAGATTATTTGAATATCGATCCGCAGCTGCTTTTATCTATAGGATTTAAAATGATTGCAGATATCGGCTCATTGATTCCTATCCTATTTTTTTTTTTTTTTTTTACAGATATTATACTTAATACAAAATATAATATAGAGTAAAATTTGGCTAATTGCATTATTTTTTTAATCAGTTAATAAGAAATATTATCTATTCTTCTTTTATTGATAAAAAAAAAAAAAAAAAAAAATATTAAAAATCAAATAGAATAAAACAGGGATCTGTGTCGATATTCATTCACTTAATCACATTATGTTCAGTAAACTATAATGGACAAGAACGCATCAGATAAATAGTGTAACAGATAAAACCAGCTAACGTCAATGTTCCTTAATAAGACAAATAATTTGTTCTCGTTTTACCACCTTTCTGAGAGAACAACTTATTTGACTTTCATTCGAAATATTTGTTACGTTATCTTTCGCCCTTGGCTTCAAGGACCTGGGAACATTGTTAAAATTCTTGCTCCCATTTATAACGAATTCTTTGCAATTGGTCTTTGGCATCATAATCCGCTGAGTCGAAAATGCTTTATTCTCATCGTAACCGTCGTTGATATATCCTTTAAAGGTTGCTACAGAAATATACTTTTCTCCGGCATCCTTTGAGATTCGGAAAAGGCTTTTACTCGCACTGTTCTTTGAGCGAGTGCACCAACGATGCTTTTTACAAATTTGCTCGTTCTCCACGATAACTGTTATACTATTTTCAATTTTGCCTTTTTCTTCTTTCGGCACCTTCGTAAGAGGCAAGTCTATTATGTCTGGCTCCTCCGTTTCATCTAGTTGAACATGATCACCTTCATGAAAAAAGTTGGACATCGATGTGTCTAATGAACTATCCATAAATGATGGATTTTCGTAAGCATTGAATTTATCACTTTTTATAGAGAGTTTATTCCAATTGCCTTGTTCTTTGATAATACTATGAACTTTGCTGTCCGAGACAAGGGAGAGCTTTGATTCTAAATCCTTGACTATTTTTCCTGAATCGTCCGATAATTTTGTCTTGTATTCTTTTAAATCAACGATTGGTTTAGAGTTATCGCTTTTATCTCCATCGTCTTTAGCAGGCAATGTTAAATTTTGTATTTTGTATTTGGGACTATCGGAGCCTTTTGGATTCAAAGAGATTGGAGATAAATCGTAGCTTGGAGTCATATGGAGATTCGCATGATTTCGAATTTTTGTGATTAGCTTTACGGAAGCGCGAAAGGATTTCGATCGTTTAAAGCCGGAGATCTTATTTCCTCTAGACGACCGATGCAATAGTTCCATCTTGGGACTCGATCGAGTGGAAGTCTTTCTAAATTTCATTTGGATGAATTAATTTTTCACTTCTTAGCCTGAATTTTAGTCGCAAATTTGTACATTTCGTTTTAAAATTCCAGTTTATACGAGTCTTTGGCTTTGCGATGTTTGTATTTTGTAGCATAATATCTGAGCAGCTTTTCATTTCAAACTGAAAATAAAAGTATTTTTATCGTTATATCATCGTACAATGCAAAAAGCTTACCGAAGTATCGCTTTATCGACTTTCATTAGAAAAATTACTTTCTTATTGTTTTTCAAGAATATCGAAAAGATTTAGAAATATATTTGACAATTATAATGCCGATAAAACTAAACTCCAGTATTCTACTTGAAAGGTTTGTCAGCATCGGCTTTATGGCTTTACAAATTTTTATATTATTTTCAACATTTTTTACTCTTTCTTGCCTTTTGTACATTGCATAGTAATACATATAATTAATTAAAAAAAACCTTGTTATATTTTTCAAATACTAGGTTAAGTGGCCACTTCAATCGCATCATAAAAAAAATGCAGTAATGGAAAGTAGGAAGAAAATTTCTTCGATGTTAGATAAAACGAATGATAAGCTCATTCGTATTTCTAGTCTTGGCTTTTAATATATAAGCAAAACGACAACCCAGCTATTATTTACTTAGTCACTTTGACATTCTCTCTCTTTCTCTCCCACGCACGCACGCATGAAGACGAGCTCGTGTACATGCATGTATACACAAACAAACACACAAATAAACGGATAATCTATTTGTCCTCCTATCATCCATGTCAAAATGAAATTGGTCAATTGGCTATTACACAAAGGGAGTATATACGAATGCATCAACTTTCTCTCTTAGTTTCTGCATTGTCGTAACACTAAAGGGTCCTCAGCCAATTTGCTGGGACAATAGATTATATTGCTTACGTCCGTTATGTAAGTGTACTATGTAAGTAGTTCTGTGCGACTTTGTCAATTACAAGACGAGTCTTTGATAAAGAATCTTTGATGGCGATTATTATCTCATGTTTAAGATTAATGTAATTAAATTCATTTAAAAATTCGTGAAAGAAAAATTATTATCAGATATATAAAATATGAGCATTATCTTAATCTGCATCGATACGTTGATTAAGAACAATTATGATTGAACAGAATTTAGATTGTTGAGTTTATTCCAAATTTATAAAACCTTTCGAATGTTTAAATTTTTTAAAAATAAATTAATGAATATATTAACTTTAATGTTATTATTACTTTTTAGCGATGTTAAATTTTTTTATAATATACAATATTACATTCAAATAATTTTAATATTTAATTTATTAAAAAATAAAACTTCTTAAAATTTTTTAAAATATTAGGTTTAAAAACTTTTAATATAATTAACTGGATAACGAAGTTCAATCGAATACTTATATAATATAAATTTTATTTTAAATTCAAAATTGTTAGCTCTTCCTCAAAATACTTTTTGGTCGCGTTTCTTTTTAACATAATTTGAATAATAATTCGTAGCAGTTCTAATATTTACCTTTAAAAACATTAAATTGATTAAAAATACAAATATGATAGAAATTGGAAAAATATTATTACATTCTGTTTATAAATTCGAATAAAATAAAATTTTACGTTTAATTTAGTTTTCATCTAAAATCTTTTCCTTATTACACTTTCAGTACATACTACTTTAATGAAGTTAATAAATTTATTAAATACCTTTCTAAATAGAAGTATTTCGAGATAGTTGTGAAAAATGTTCTTGTATTAATGTGTGAACGAAAGTTTTCTTATTTTTAACAATAAAATAGATTCGATAAAAATCATCGAGATCTCTAATCGAAGGAATCATCTAATATACATTATTGGATATCAAAAATGGAAATTACATAAAGTATTGAAACGAAATTTTTTGAAGTTTCATTTTTATTGGAAACATTTTTCTATATTTTCTACTATCAATAATTTCATTAGTATAGTAGAAGAGCGTATCTATAGTGAAATGCACATTGAATTCAAGTTATTGATTACGTACGTATGTCAAGTCGCTTAGGGATGGAATATTATTCACTCTATTGTTAGAAAATATATCGATATCGATGCAAATAAAATGAACAATTATATTAAAAAAAAAGGATTCGAAAAAGTTATTTAAAAATATATCTATAAATTTCATTTTCATTTCAACGAAGGTCTACATTCGATTTTTGTATCGGTTTTTATAATTTGTTGTTATTCAGATTATTTCACGGGAAAAAAAAATAATTTGAAATTATTTAAAAATGAACAAATTTTTCGTTCTACCGACTACTATTAAAAATAATTTTAAACTTTCATAAATAGAGATTCTTAAATAAAATTATGACAATGAAATTAGTGCTATAAAAATTATTTGTTTAATACTAAGCTTCGAAATGATTTATTTTAAGTACTTCACTTTATACACGTTAAAAAATTATTGAATATTTAATTTTATTTTTTGTATTACATTAATATGAATAAATTCATTACTTTTTCTGCAGACTAGTTAAATTTAAATTAATGTTATTTTTTTCTATATATTCTTTTTTCATTTATTTTTTATTAATAGAATATTTTGATCAATTGTATTAATTAAATGATACAATCATCACTAAATTAGCTCTTTCACTACAGACAGAAATATTCTGATGTGCTGCATCCGAAAATAATTAAGTTAGTTATAAAAGTATTAAATTAAAAATTTCTTTATTGAGAATATTTTATAAAGTCCAAATATTAGAAATTACAATAACTTTTTAAGGATTTAAATTTTTATTTTAATAGAAAAAGGTTTTGAAATTTATTCATACTTTGAAATAAATTTTTTATATAAATAATAACAAGAAATTTTTATTTTCTTAGTCCTATCAAATATTTTTATTTAAC